ACGTAAAAATATTTTTTTGCCAAACGGCAGTAATTTTCAATCTACGTCAGTTATGGTTGCTTGCGGGCGAGCGGATTCTCCGCAGCTTTCTCGCCTCCGCTCTGTTGCTATGACTCGTCAGGATTATAGCGCGTTCTCAGTGATTTGCTGGTCTGCGACAGATTTCATGCGCGAGGTAAACTGTTCGCGAAGCGCTCGCCCAAGCGGAAAAATGCGCTGTTGCTGCCAGATATCGATTGCCGAAAATTACATGGCCTACGTTATTGTCAACGTTATTGCCCAAGCGGTAAATTTAAAAAAAAAATGTTTATAAAAATGTGGGCTATATAAAATTTTAATAATAACAAACATCATATTGTTTTGCGTATGCTCGTGTCGCTTACAGTTGAAGTCCTTCTCTGATTTTATTATTGTTTGCAAGGTTGCAATGTTACTTTGCAATATTTTAAATACTTTTGGGTATTTTGCATGGTCTGTTATGTCACCCGGGTGGGAGTTTTAACTCCTATTCACTGTGAATAAAAAATTATTTAGCTGATGCAGAGAGACATATAGACCGGGGGAATCCCCCCATCTCCCCACCCTCTGATTACATATCATAACATAACTGTGTGATCATGTTGATCACTATGATCCCGTTAATAGTGATTGTGATTTGAGATTTGTTTTTCTGTTTCAGGAGCATATAATCAAGCACATCCTGACCTCTGCCAGAGATGAGCCTTCTGCACCAGCAAGGTACAAGCCCTGAACACAAACACTTTGTCCTAGTCAAAGCTGACTTTGAAGTTACCACGTTTACTCTGGAATGTTGTGCTGTAGTTCTTAGGTAAATGCTCGCGGCATTTCCTGATCCCGTTCCCCCACACTCCACAGCATTTCCTCTTCTATCCCTCTGCTGAATAAAAAAGTGTGGGGGGAAAAACATATCATTCTTGCTAGGTGTGGCACATTAAATAATTTTCCTGTTCTTAGTGAATGCAAAATGTAGCAAGTAAATCTCAGCTGAACAGACAGTTTGAAATTTCAACCAGAGGACAAAAGGTCAGGTTGGTTATGACAAAAAACTGTAAACGTGAACATCACTAACATGAACACTCAACTAATACAAAGCACACTGCAGCAGACAGAAAAAATGTCATGTCATTGTGCATTAAAATGCATTATACTAATTCCATAGACATAAATCTAATTTTAACAGGTGATTGTATAATTAATTAACTGATCCCTTGATGTAGCTTGTATAGTATCCTTCATCAGGAATGTATTATTAGTCCAAAAAAGAAAAGAAAAGTTTTGTGTTTTCCAAGTCAGTGCATCCTCCTTGTTAGATTTGGTTTTTAAAATGAAGCAATAACTCTGTACATTACGGTCAGTGTTAGACTGGTGTGGGGCTATGTGTCTGGTCATATCTAGACAGATTAGGCGCAGTGTCATTTAAAGTAATCCAGGAGGACTCGGTAGGATTAGAGTGGATTCTGATGGGGCTCAAGCCATTAGAAGCCCCCATGACTCCCGGTGGAAAAAGTTTGGGTGTTTTTCAGGGAAAAACTGAGGAAGCCTTAGATCATAGAAGGGGCAGGCAGGAGGCAGGATTAAATATCTATATGGTCTAGTGGTTAGTGCACATGCCCCAACACATTGAGCTGTGGGCCTCATTCAAGCCATGCACATTTGAGTCACACTTTTTTTTTTTTTTTTTTTTAAATGTGCAAAATGTATGTATAGATGCAGAAGCTGATTTTTTTTTTTTAAACTTTATTCAGCAAGGACATATTCAGTTGATCAGAAGTGACAGTAAAGGCAAAAAATGAAAATAAATAAATGTAAATAAAGTAAAAAATATTTTTTTATACACATACATTTTTTACTTTAATTTACTTTTTTATTTATTTATTTTTTAATCTTAATAAATGTTTTTGCTTGAAGTAAATTCTTTACATGGCAGATGTAAACATTTCCATTTCCATATCTAAAGCACAAATATTATTAAAGGGATTGTGCATTTGTAAATTGTTTGGATGTTTATTTTAAAGTTGAAATTAAAGTTATGTCTTTGTTTCTTTTTGCAGGTGTGTGGCTCTCTGTAGTCTGGGTATTTGGCTCTGTGAAGAACTGGTTCATAGCACTCAGCATCCGCAGATCAAAGAAGCGCTTAATGTCATCTGTGTCACTCTCAAGGTAACGGATGCTTGATTATACAACAAAATGTACATATATTCTGCTGTTAAAGATTGATTATAAATGGAATAGAAGCATCTGTGTTGTAAAAGAACCTTCACTGGCAACATAAGTGAGCACAGCAGAGAAATGATGGCATTGCCCTTGGCCTGAGTCTTCTGAAGCCGTTCTTGATGCCTGGGCTCACTGCACTGGCACAAGTGTGTTCTGTTCATCCAGAAGAAGATTATTCCATACTCCCTGCACCCACCCCTACCAGCCTTCCTAAATCTGGACCGTCAACATGTTTGGCTTCTCTGCTTCTCACAGACAGAAGGCTAATCCACTGAAGAATGCACGCTTCAGAGACTTTGAGGAATTATTACATTTCTGTCTGAAATGAAGGCTAGGGCCAACAGACACACACACACACACATACTCAAACTCGGGTCCAATCAGAAAAGTCTGTTTGTGATCGGGTCGATTCTATTGGCTTTTCAGAGAATCTGGTGTCAGTGGAGGGTTAGACATGAGGGTCTCTCTCCTTTGGGTGCGTTCCATGAAGCAGAATTAGGCAAAGACTCATCCCGTCTTAATCAGCTCAGATGAGGCCCACGACACAGTTTTTCAGTTTTGCTCCACACATGTCTGAGCACATTAAAGTTGCTGATTGCTTCCATTTTAACCATTAATACCTTTCTTCCAGTTCTCAAATAAAACCGTTGCTCTGGTGGCCTCAGACATTTTGCACCTGCTCATCAATTATGTGGACGAACTGCAGAAATTCCCGCCTGACACTCCAAAGAAAATAGTGGAGGTAAAGTCAGTAACACTACAAGTGAGCTGAATTTTAAGTTAAGCATGGTTTGAATGTGTGATGTTTATTTTCTGCTTTTTAGGTCCTTATTGCAACCATCACTTACCTTCTTCCAGCCACAGAGTCCTCCCCTCATGAGCTGGACAAGAGGGTATGTCTTATTAACAAATGCACCCCAACACAATGAAAGAACACACTCATGTGCATGTGAAATAAATGCTTATTTTCAACCAACAACTCATGACGGTTTTTATTAAAGAGAAAGTACACTTAAAAAACAGAACAGTTTGTCCTGTCTAGATGCAGCACATCAGGCAATTTTCCTGTTCTTACTAAAAATAAATGCTTTATAAAGCAACTAAACAACGTGTTTGCAACATTATAAGTCTTCTGAAGAAATTTGATGGGTTTGTGTGAGGAAGAGGCTTAAATTGTCATAACTGTTTTGGGTGACATGAGGGTGATGCTGAGTTTCCATTTTTGGGTGTACTGTTTCTTTAAATTGGCCACCAGATTGACTGGCTTATATATATATAATATATAAAATTAGTGGCATATATATAAAAAAGTGGCAGTAAAGACTTTTAAATTGTTACTAAAAAATCTATTTTAAATAAATAATGAATAAAAAACGTTAAGTTGAAAAATGTACCACTGTTTCAACAAAAAATATTAAAGGGGTCATATGATGCGATTTTAATTTGTCCTTTCTCTTTGGAGTGTTACAAGCTCTTGGTGCATAAAGAAGATCTGTAAAGTTGCAAACACTCAAAACCAAAGAGATATTTTTTATAAAAGTTAAGAGTTAGCTTTTAATATATGGTTTTATCCTGATTGAAGCTTTAATACAGTACAGCAACCGCATGCGCGTCCATGTTTAATGCTTCTCATAGCTATGTGCAAATAAGTGTATAATTGTAACAGTTCATTGCTGGAGCTGTGGAAGTTAGTGGGTAAGCACTATCACTCGCTGAAAGAGAGAGAGAGATGCAGAGTGTGTGCAGAGCAGGAACATTGATTTTGAAACTTGTGAATCCATTAGAATCGTTAGAAGACAGAATCGCGATTCATATATGAATAGATTTTTAAGTGCACCTCTAGTTTTCTCTTCCTCTTCTCTAAAGCAGCGCAATGGCCTCGCCCCCTTTGCTGCCTTTGCTGCCCGAGGGTGGGGTTTATCTGGGTTTGTGATGTCACGAACCCGGGAAGTAACTCGTTGTAGTCCCTACCAGCCGTTTTTGTAGGCATTAAACTGCCAGAATTTTGAAAGACGATATCTCCGTTTGCATTGAACTTTAAGCTTCGTAACTTTGCAGATATTGTTTATGCTCAAACAGCAACATTACACACTAACTAACGTTAAAAAAGTTAAATCGCAATGAACCACCCTTTAAGCTTTAAGCAGCAATGTTTTCAACACTGATAATAAGAAATGTTTCTTGAGCAGTAAATCAGCATATTAGAATGATTTAGAAGGATCATGTGACACTTAACATTGGAGTTGGCTGCTGAAGATTACGTTTTTTTGGCAGGAATAAGTTACATTTTTAAATATATCAAAATAGAAAGCATTTATTTTAAATAATTTTTGTAATAATTTATTGATTTATTTTGCTTTGTCTCTTTCCAGCTGGTCGTGTCTCTGCTGCTATGCTTGCTGGACTGGGTGATGGCTCTACCTCCAAAAACTCTCCTGCAGCCAGTCCAAGGAGCCTCGGACAATGAAAAAACTGACAAGTCCATCCTCAGCTGCATCTATAAAGTATGAGGGCCAACACACACATCTGCTATTAAACATAATTTTTATATCTCAATAAGCATCATTTTATTTTGTATCGCTCTTTAATTTTTTTCTTTCCCCTTTCGGAACAACTCAACACACAAGTGCACCCCACTCTTTATTTCTTTGTATTTCTAACCCATTTGTCCACCCCTCAGGTCCTCCATGGCTGTGTATATGGGGCTCAGAGCTTCAGTAACCCCAATTACTTCCCCATTCACCTGTCAGACTTGAGCAGCCCAGACTACGACCCCTTCCTACTACTGGAGAACCTGAAGGAGCCAGAGCCACTTCATTCACCCGAATCTGAACGCTCCTCTAAACTGCAGCCCGTCACTGAAGGTGAGTGCATGTCTTCTGCCTCTCTCTTGTTCTTGTTTTGACCTCTCCAGTTTCTATTTCCTATGCCTTGTCCTAACCAGTTGCGACATGGCAAGTTTTGAGCATTAAGTAATTCTTCTGTCCTCACAGAAAGCCATTGAGAATGATTGACTGTTTAATATGCAGCTATGCAAAGCACAATTTTGGATCAGTGAGACGTTACTGTGGGTCAAAGTGACCTAAAAATTATTTTGTCATGTAATTTTAGTAAATAACAGCTTTTTACTTGGATTAACATAGAACTAAATTGATAATTTCTCACTGTTGCTGCAGGAAAAGACAAAAACATGGAAAAAAACAGCTTGTCGCACAGTATCAACCATCACCCACCACATTTCTTTAAATAACAGCTTTTTACTTGGATTAACAGAACTAAATTGATAATTTCTCACTGTTGCTGCAGGATAAGACAAAAACATGGAAAAAAACAGCTTGTCGCACAGTATCAACCATCACCCACCACATTTCTCCTATCTTTATCACCTTCTGTAGTTAAAACAAGCAGAACAAATCAGAAGAAGCAGGAATGAACTACTTAAATGTGTGTCTTCATCACCGAATCTGTTTGTTTCCTCATGCTAGTATCAGTGTGAGAGAACGGGTTTGAGATTGACAGCAGGGGGCTGGTTTCCTGTGCTGCCGTTGCTGTGTCTCTCTCCATCAGGCGAAAATAACTAATCATTACAACCCTGAGTGAGACATGTGTCCACCACTTTCCTACCTCCATTACTCCTAGCGCTGGATTCTTGCTAGATCGGAGGGCACTCGGCGGCTGAGGTGGTCTGTACAGAAGACTGCTTCATCAGGATAAAATCCCTCCCCCTGAGAGCTCCGGTCTAAGAATGTTTTGGCTCATTAAGGCGGTGGAGAGTGTCGCTGAATGTGATTGGTGTGCTGTGTTGATTGGGGGGAGTGGGCCTCTGGCACGTCGAGTGTACTGGTATTGGGCTGCTCTCTGCATGGTTTCTTTGTGAGTTCTGGCAGTATGTGAAGAAGGAGTGTCTCCATCGAGAGCTTCTTACCAGCATCGAGGCATCTGCACCTCTCCCCAGGCATCCTGCATTCTTCATCACACCCTAATGTCCCTGTATTCACACGAGCCGTCTGCACCTTCACTCATCTCGGCTCCGCAGGAGTTTAACACTGATAGATCTGAAAACCACTACATCCCTGATGAAACGAGTGCCTAAACTCTATTCCTTTACTTGTTTCTAACACCTTTTCATCATCACTGCAGTCTCTCCATCTCTGTCACTTTCTGATTTTTGATTAAATTCTGCACAATAGATTTAAGGATGGATCACCCGATTAGTCGATAGTGAGGTCAACTACCTAAATGTAAATTTTGTTTTGATTTATTTTATATATATTTTATATATAAAATTTATTTTATACATAAGTTATAATATTTTTATAATAGTTTATAATATTTTATATTATAACTCTTTCTTAATTTGTTAGATTTTTTATTTTATTTTATTTTAAATACGTTTAATGGTGGTTTAGTTAGTGTGCTAACAGCATCCCGTTAGTTTGCACAGTAAAACCTCTCTAAAAAGTTGTATCTTTAAACTTATCCATGTTAAGAAAAATTAACTTTCAGAAAAATAACTGGCCATTGCCATTTGTCTTTTTGCAACATGTCAAATAGTACTAAATAGTCATAAATTGTACTAAAAATTTTAAAATTGTACCATAATGCTTGTTCTTTTTGCTCTATCTTGTTGATCAGACGATGAAAAATGCAATTGTATGTAAGAAACACGGCTGATTATGCCAGATGACCTGAACCAGCTTATATAATAAATATACAAGGCTCCCATAATACAGATTGGTCAATAAGATGTTCGGTCAAGTTGATTAATTCCAAGAGAACATTCCAAATAGTTTTAAACTGAGCTTGAACACCCAAGTAGTAAGGGATATGTAGAACCTTATGAATGATGGGCACTCTAATTGTCTTTGAAAATCTCCAGAAATGTCTGCACATACAACTTCTTTAAATACATCTTTGTCTTTCTTTCTGTTTGTAGTGAGGAGTCGTATTCAGCAGGGCCTGATTTCAATTGCGGCGCGCACGGTCATATCCCACCTGGTCAACCACCTGGGTCACTATCCGATGAGTGGTGGTCCAGCCACTCTGACCAGCCAGGTATGCGAGAACCAGGATAACCCATACAGCGAGAGCGCAGACCTGACCCCTGAACTATTCGACACACCCAACTTACAGTTCTTTGTGCTCAATGGCACCACCCTGCTGTCCTATCTACAGATCCGGGCAGAGGACGGCCTGCCCGGTGGCGGGATGTCAGCTGGCCTCACCACCACCAGTGCCTGCGTTCGGGTGATCGTGAGGGACATTTCCGGAAAACACTCCTGGGACTCTGCTGTACTGTATGGTCCACCTCATTGCATCACTCCTAGTCAAACTTTGCAACTCTACTCATCCTCCAATCAAGCAGGGGGCGATAGAGAATGTGGCCGAGATGAGGACAGTCTAGAAAGAGGCAGTCAAGAAGAACCAGAGGATGGTGATTTTCAGGAGAACGAGGAGGACCTGGATGAGCACGAGGAGGATGTGAAAGAAGACAGGGAGGAGGAAGAACTTGAGGAAGAGGACGAGGAGGAAGAGGCAGGGCTGGAACTGATGGCCCCACAGGCCAAACGGCGGTGCAGAGAGGTGATCCCAAGCTGGGACTCCCTGCAGGATGGGGAGGACGCCCTGGATGAAATGTTGCAGTACCTGGGATACTCCAGCCCAGAGTGCCTGCAACGTACTGGCGCACCGCTCAACATTCCAGCCCCGCCGCCCACCTGCGTGTCCGAGAAGCAGGAGAACGACGTCATCAACGCCATCCTGAAGCAGTGCGCCGAAGAGCGGGACTTTACGCTGCATTGTGGAAATGACCTGAACATGAGGGCTGTAGTACAGCAAGAGCCAAGCCCACAGAGACCACAGTCGGCCTTTTACTACTGCAAACTGCTCCTCAACATACTAGGCATGAACTCCTGGGAGAAGAGGTAAGACTCAGGACCACTTGAACACACATTGCAGTTGCAAATGCTTGGGAATCCTGTAGGGCAGGGGTTCTGGAGGCCCCCCAGCACTACATTTTGTAGGTCTACATTAACAGACACATCCAATTCAGGTCTTGCAGTGTCTCTACTAGCTGAGCTGACGAGTTGAATCAGGCGTGTTAGATGAGGCAGGCATGTAAAATATGCAGTGCTGGGGGGCCTCCAGAACAGGTTTGAAAACCCCTGATATAGAGTATCCATAAGTACAAATTTGTATTTGTATTTGTAACAAACGTGTTATGGGATGGTGTACCCCAGCGTTTCCCAACCCTGTCCTGGGAGGCACCCCAAAAGTACACATTTTGGATGTTTCATTTATCTGAGCCATTCTTTCAGGTCTTGAAGTTTCTGCTAATGAGCAGAGTTGATTCAGGTGTGTTTGATTAGGAAGAGTTTGAAAATGTGTAGTATTGGGGTGCCTTCAGGAACAGATTGGGCAACACTGGTTACAGGTATGGGATAGTAACTCAAAATTGCAATGTCAAACATGTATAGGAGTGATCCTTCAAAAAATCCAAACACCAGGCATCATGGTGTGCCAATGTGGTTCCCCATGCTAGATTTGTTATTTTAAAAAAAAGAGAGAAAAATCCTACTTTGCTATTTTAATCCTGTCCGAATCTGCCACATATGGGTTTTTCTCGCACAACCTCTGTAATAATTCTAGAGCAAAATTACCTACTGTTTTTCGGCAAACTCGGCGATCCTCTGAGAAAACTAATCCCATCCGAATGCAAATGTCTGTGATTATTGACAATATTTTTTTCATAACGTGTTTCCTTGTGTGTTTTGGCCAACGTTAACTACCGTAGACGCTCTTACCACGCACATTTTTGATATGTTTGCCTCCCGGCAAAGAAATAAAAAAATAAAAATAAAATCAAGAGCCAGATCACGTAAAACTGTTAAGACTGGCTACTTTATTATCAGCGTCAGGTAAGATTATTTTTATGAAGGTGATCATTTCTGCACTCAATTGCATAATGTTTTAATTACATACCTTTACGAACATTAAACATGGTTTTACTACAAATACTACAAATAAAGGGTTTGCCTGCAAATTACTGCAGATAAATTTACGATAATCATCATAAATGTGCTCACTACTTGCTTGACAGGATTTCAGCACCCGATGTCACATTTTTTTAAAATACATTTTTACATAAAATACATTTTTTTGTGTATTTTTTAATTGTTCATTATTTTTGAAAAGCCTGTCTCAAGAATCGGTTATCACAGTTATTCATATAATGAATTCCAAGTTGTTAATTTCATCATGTCCATGTCAAAATCAACAGAGAACTTGATTGCGTTGTTTGTTGTTAGTGTGTTACCAAAGCTAGTCACTTTTTTGTCAATATTGAGTTTTTGGGCAGTTTATTACTAATAACAGAAACAAATTCCTCCAACCATAATTCTGCCAATTCTGTTATGTCTTTATGTTAGCATTGTTTAACCACCATATCAGAGAGTTTAATACTTTGTTCTAGGAATAAAGTGATCAACAACACTTCATCAAACCATCCTGCCATTTTTTCCCAAATTAATCACTAAATTTTTTTGGTAGAGTTTGTTAGCACAATCTGGGTGACGCTGTTGTTGAAGCCCGATAATTCATGTAAACATCCTGTTTGCTCACACCTCTCCCTGATTGCGCAGAGCCATGTTAATCTGCTTTAAACAGTCAACATTTTTCTGATCAGCTTATCCACCAATAGAGACTATAGTGGTGCTCACTTACTGCGCAAACCTCAGTTTCCGTCCCACTCCAAAATGCCTAATGGTTCCCCTCATTGCGTTTGACTGTGAGGGTTCAATCCCATTCCATTTTGTGGTATTACAGAGAATGGTTAAATATTTCCAGATGACAAATAATTGGAAAATTGGGGTTATTTTTCACCTTGAATGTAATGGCATTAATTTGAATTATATACATGCTCTGTTATGAGATTAATGAAGGAAAATTGTTTTTTCACCATTCGCTCATAGAGTTGCCAGGAGGGAAAAAGCTTTTCTTCAGCAGCTCTGGGTGAATGGTGTGTGTGTGGGTGTGTGTGTGTGTACGCAGCTTTTATGGGGGGATTAATTCTTGAGGGGTCTGTTATCTGCCGAGCAGCGGCGGTACTTTTCATTTTTGCCTGATACGCCGGGTGAAAATAAAAGGCTGCTACCTTTCGAATGTGGCTGGAGGGTTATTATGAGTTGGAGAGCTGGGAGAAAATGCATAGGGGCTGTTTAATGAGGAATTGTCCTGCTGCCGCTCTCCAGGCATTCATGTATCATTTATCCGTGGTCAGAGACTAAGGCATTGCAATCCGCCGGGCCATTGTGTGTGTGAGCGCGCGCCTAATGTCGGCCTTTTATGCCGTTTGCGCGTTCGCCTCCTGAAATGGCTCACTTTCAATGGAGAAAATGAAGACCATTACATTGCAACAAGCTAATAAAGAGACCCCTGCTCAAAGAAAAGGAGAACAAAACAAAAAGTCCTTTTAGAGAGCATCGTGTGGCTTTTCCACATGACTCACGCGGCCACTTGGAGGGAGCGAAAGATAAAGAGGGGGAGAGGGAGAAAGTAACTGAACTCTGAACTATAAAAGCTGCAGACGGAAAGAAGTCGTATTATCTTAGATTTATGATTTTTTTTTTTTTTTCCATGACATCATGTGTAGGTTTTTGTTTTACAGCCTTATCGTGTCATAAGATGTTTTTCAGCGCAGGATCTTCCATTGTTTGTTTTCATTTGCGTTTCTGTCGTTGGGTCAGATTTTCTGGGAGACTGTGAGAAAAACAAGGAAGACTGTAATTAAGCAGGCGGCCGCTTAATGAAAGAGATCTAACGCACAGTCTAGAACAGCGCTTCTCTAAATAGGGTCTGTGAATAATAGCTAGAGCGTCCTCAAAAAACGAAAAAAATCGATCTATTCTATCTATCATTCTGTCTATAGTTATATTATTGTCTGTCTGTTCTTCTCTGTCTGTCATATCTGTCCATCTAGATATCTTTTTTTATTACATTAATGTTGTTATTGATCGCCTGTCTATGTGTAAGCTAATTAACCTGAAGTGATCGAAGATGAATATTTCTCTTCATTAGCTCTTATGTTTAAATGTCCTGTCCCCAGGAACAGTTTCCACCTGCTGAAGAAGAACGAAAAACTACTGAGAGAGCTGAAGAATCTGGATTCAAGGCAGTGGTATGTTATGCCACTTTTTATCCAGTGTTGTTTCTTTCATAGAGTTGCCAGGAGGGAAAAAGCTTTTCTTCAGCAGCTCTGGGTGAATGGTGTGTGTGTGTGTGTGTGTGTGTGTACGCAGCTTTTATGGGGGGATTAATTCTTGAGGGGACTTTGTGTCAGGCCTGGGCTGGGAGGTAAAATCTTGATAATTAATTGCTGGGTGGCAATTCATTAATAAATGTCCTATATATATTTAAATATTACTTGTAATATTTTATATGATATTAATACATGGGCCTAACAAACTCTTTCCTCAATGTTCAGGTGAACCTAACGAGTCATTGTGGTTTCATGGGCGGCCTGCAGAGGAACAAGAGCACGGGTTTGACCATGCCTTACTTCGCCACCTCTACAGTTGAAGTAATGTTCCACGTTTCCACACGCATGCCTCCAGACTCAGACGACTCGCTCACTAAAAAGGTAAACTTGTAGAATTCGCCATTTTGAAGTCAACTTACGATTTTAGTCAGGTTACATGACAAATTTCCACCGGAGTTACTTTAGTATTATTTAGATACTATTTTAGCATATATTCGTATTTTGAATTAGCTTTTGTTTCTTATATTTTCATTTTTATGTTATTTAAAGTTTTAGTAATTTTGTTATATGCTTATGCCATTTTTATTAGTTGTTTTTTTATATTTCTATATAGTTTTAATTTATTTGTATTTCATTTATTAGTAAATCATCACTTTTTTTCAGTTAGTTGCCAAGGCAATATTTTGAAGTTTAACTTTTTTTAATCCTTTTTTTTTTTTTTTTTTTTTCTTGATTTCATTTAATTATAGTTTTAGTTTTAATTAACAATAACAAAACAGATTTGTATCACATACTGATACTTAGAGTTTTAGGACTTTATGTAAATAACCTCTGCATTCTGTATGACATACTATCTTCTGCTAAACACGAAGAAGGTATTTCTGAACAGTGTTATTTTTATGTCTAAATAACCCATTTTGTAGCTTGGCCAACTAGACCGGAGCTTTGCCTCGTGAAAGTACACCAGTCTCAAAAGAACAAGGAGAAATCTTGTTTTCCTTCTCTCAAAAGCTGCTGATTCTCTAAAGAGTTAAACTTTCCCCCTGCCAGCTCACCTGTGGCAGGCCTTTTAGATTGTAGTCTGTGTCATTTCTTTCATAGCTCTTCTGTCTAGAGTTGTCTCCAGCAGTGCAGCTCTGCTCCTCCTGTGCAATGGGTGAAGTGGGACACAGAACCTCACTGACCTGTGCGTTCACACCTCATCATTAAACCTAACCCAGGCTAATCTGAGGGGTGGGACACTTATACCTGCCAAGAGCTGCGCTTTTGTGTTTCTGGGTTCCCCATAGAGAGAAAAGGTCCTATCTGCTATCGGAACAGAGAAAAGGAGAAAGTAATGACTCCTAACAGCTGTACTTTATTCTCTCGTTCTGCCTCTCCCACTGGCTTTTATCTTCTCTCTTTTATTTAAAGAGGGATGTCGCACCCTTTCTTTTTCTCACTCTTCCTCGCAGTCGATGTGACCTTATGGAGAAACATTGCTCTCTAGTTTTTCTCTTTGTAAGGGTGTTTCTTCAACTATAGGCACTTTTTTGCCCTGTGGGCGTTTATAAATTAAACATTCTTTAAACACACTTTTTACATTCTAACTAGTTTATTTTATGTCTACTAATAAAATCCATCAGTGTACACACATCTCAAATGATGTACTGTTTAATAGTATTCAATGGTGGAAATGACGATGGCAAAAAGACTACTTTGTCTTGCTAAGGCCAATTTCATTGCAAACATGTATCCTAAATATACACAATTAATATTTTTATATTTTCTTGCATAAATTGACACAACCAGATTTTGACTGGAAATGATGCAAGTAAAATATTTTGTTCAAGTTATATTTACTTTTTTCTTTACGTATCACACTTTTTTCCACTGACACTTTTGTCTGATGGTAAACAAGTATAACTTTTGGGGAAAAATGGTCAAAATCATTATTATTATTATGATTAATGGCAAAATTGGTAATGGTAATCAAACCACAACTGAGAAACAGGTGTTTTTTTCTTTTAATATATATTTTGGCTTGATAAATATTGAAATGTGTTATGCTTATTTCTTTAAGATAAATCAGTCTTAAAAATTGCTAATATGTTTATTGTGGATTTTCATGTTTTAAGATTGAAGTTCTGGATCTGGGACAAAGGTAGAATCCCTTTATCCATTAAGCATGTTTTATTAGATTGCGCTGTTGTTAACCCTTTGAGAAAACTTTGATTCAGTTAACTCTTTTGAAGAGATTTTTAACAGAGTTACGCCCAAATACAGTTTTGGAGTTTTGAACAAAAATAAATTATAAAAACATGATATAATTTAGCCATAATATTTCTCACCATGAAAATAGCCACAGAAGCTGAACACAAACAAACAAACAAACTGAGACAAAGGTAAGCAATAAAATATAGTAGCAAAAATAAAAATAAAGGCATGGTAAAAAGTTGCCATGGCAAGTCAGTTTATTGTGACCTTCATATAACAAAAAGAACTGGTACAAGCTGTTAGTTTTAATAAAAATCAACCCCTGGGACATTAAATTGTCCATACTTGAAGAAACACCCGCAAATGTCTGTCTGCATGGGTATTTTTTTCCGTTCACATGGGCAGCTCAAATCTAATAATGTGCAGCATTATCCTTAATGAGCTAGGCTGGAAGGCTGTGATATGGGGCTGTTTGTGGAGCGGCCAGCCCCATGCCGAATGACCAATCGCTTGTCATTAGAGCTGTCCCCTCACTTCCTCACTCATACGTCTTCTGGGGCAGAGACGAGGCGATAAGGTGCTAATGCGCCCCAAAGACTTATTAATGAACGCAGATAGAAATGTGATATTGCTGCGAGGGACAGTGGGGAGGGAGGGAGGGCTACAGTGGACCGTAAGAGGGACGTTTCATGGGCCGCTTATTGGGTAGGTAAAGGGTGGCTCTAATTAGATTGCCACGTTTAGTCTGAAATGGTCTCGCCTACAGCTTATTGTATCTTCTCTGTTTTTATGAGCTGGGCAGGTATGCTGAAAGGGGGGTTGTGGGATATTGTCGGGAAGATGTTGGACTGTAATTGGCTTTAAGCAGAAGGATGACAAGATGTTAGGTCTGTTTTCGTGGCCCACTTTTTTTAAACCAATATTTGTCCCTGTTGAGAGAAATGGAGGATTATGAATGACATGCACATTAAAGTCAACATGAAGTCAACATGATTTTACTTCTGTGCCATATTTCTGAGTACAACTCAATCAGAAAGAAATGTAGAACTGTAGATTTGCAGATCAGTGTTTGATTGATCTTCATATAGAAAGTACAGTAGTAAGAACAGACCAGCGAGAGGGTGGAAAGTGATCTTAAATGAGTGAAATTCAGAGAGAAAAATAAAATGCAACATAGGTATACAATGTAACTCATGTAACACAGTTTCTCATTACGGACACTTTTTCTGTTAATTTTTTCTTCAGTTTTTTGTTCAGTTCATCACTTTTTTTTCCTGCGCATTTGTACAAATTTGAGCTCAAATGATTGTAAAATGTACAAATGCACCAAAAAGTGCTTAAAAGAAACTAATGCAGATTTTTTTATATTTATCAGAAGAAATGGCCATTGTGTTGAATGAATTTCTGATGTGATGCTACAAACTGATGTGCCATTTTTCATGATGATATATGATTTAAACTAAGATAGCCGAGATGAAAGAGCATCTTTCAGTCCTGGCTACTTTGTTGTTACTCATTTTATTTGAGAAGAGGTTGGCCACTCACTCATCAGGTAATTTTCACATTTCACATCACACTATCGTTCAAAGGTTTGGGGTTAGTAATATAATGTTTTTAAGAAAGTCTATTATACTCACCAATCCTGCATTTATCTGATCAAAATACAATAAAGCAATTTAGTAAATTATTAAAATTTCAAATAACTGTTTTCTGTCTTAAAATATAATTTATTTCTGTGGTGCAAAGCTGAATTTTCCAGTACTCCATTACTTCAGCCTTCAGTGTCACATGATCCGTCAGAAACAATTCTAGTGCGCTAATTCTAATTTTATGCATTTCATATTATCAGTGTTGAAAACAGTCGTGTTGCTTAATATTTTTGTGGAAACTTTTTTTTTTTCAGGATTCTTTGCTATCTTGAAAGTTCCAAACAACAGCAATTATTTAAAGTAGAAATCTTTTTAGCAGTATAAAGGCATTTACTGTCTCTTTTAAATCAATTTCATGCATCCTTGCGGAATAAAAGTATACTTTTTTTTTTTTTTAATCTTACTGACCCTAAACCTCTGAACAGTAGTTAAAAAGTACAGTAGCAAACATTGTTAAAGAGTTAAAGTCATCTAAAATATGACATATATACAGCACATGGGGTTTTTAGGAGGAAATAAAAAATGCAGAATTGTACAAAACATGCATCTTTTTAACACCGTAAAATCAAGGATTTATGCATTCATTACCATAACTGCGGTAAGCCAAATCACTTTTCTTCTATAATTCAAACATTTATTTTCTCTCTGTTTTTGTGTCATTGAAGTGACTGAGCACTTCTTGCAATAATACATTTAATGCAGATCTATATCTTCTTATCACAATGAGGATGGGCCGTTTGAAATTCTACCAGAATGTTGCCACGATCTGCACTAAGGGCCGCCAATCGAATGTGGCATTTCTCAGAATGATATTACATGATTAAACAAAGATGGCTGAGAGATGAAAGAAATCTCTCAGTCCAGACCACCTTTTCATCCAATAAAACTCCAATCATTTTGTCACACGGACACACACCCTGGAACGAAATGGCAGTCCCTGGTCTGCGGCAGTGCAGCTGAAGGCTGGATGTAATTCATGGCTGTAATTTGAGCACGAGGCATGAGGTGAAGTGACGTGTGGGGCGGTTGGGCCGGTGAAGGTTTTTTTTTGGACTGCCGTCCCTGCCCTGCAGGGGAGCTGAGGGGACCTCCACGCCACACGGCTATATTCCACCCAAATTAGATTGGGTCTGTCCCTGTGCTGCATTGCCTATCATGACTTCTCAAAGGCAAATTGGATTTGCAAGGGCTGCTGGAGGGGCTATCCAGAGCACGATCTTCCGATAGCAACTCTAAACCATGTTAACTAGACACTAAAGTGTGTCAGCAGCGCAGCCGCTGGTGCCACAGCGCACACACATTTATTTTTCTGCTTTTTTTTTTTTCTTCTTACAGCTGCTGTTTTATGCAATGTTTATTGTCTAACATGCTCTCTGAAGGATTCAAAAAAAATTCTATACTTGCCAATTGCAAGTGAATTGAGAACATTTGTCAGCCGTTATTGTCCATGAAAATGATAATCAATGTATTATTCTAAAATATATTTATTAAATATTATTTAATTATAATTATTTTAATATAATATTTTGTTATAAAATTTAAAAATCTGTGAAGTTAATAAATATATATTTTTTAAATATATTTATTTTTTTATATTATATATTTATTGTCTTTCTGGCACACAATTGCGACTAAATTCAGAGAATTTATTATATAAAAACATTTACACTTGCCAATTGCAAGTGATTTGAGATAATTTAGTGGCCATAAATTTTGTTTGTAGTTCATCAAAATAAATCAGTGCATATGTTATTAAATATTTGTATTAATTAAATATATTATGTATCATAATGTTAAATAGTTTATCTTTTTTAAATGTTTTATTTTTATTTTTTTACTTTTATCTACTTATTATTATTTATTTATATATTATTATTAAGTTATTATGTTATATTACCTTATGGCAGTTATGGCAATTATTTTGCTGCTTTGATTTTTTTGTAGCATCATATAAAAACTAGTCAGTGCTAAAATACATTTGAAGGTGGGAGAGTATTAATTTTGGACTTGTTCAGCTTCACGTCCCTATGATCCTTGCTGTTTTAAATAACTTGAGCTGTAACTGCAAAGTAGAACTCTGCAGTTAAAGAAATAAACAATGTCCATCGCTGAGTCCAAAGGACAGAGTTTGTCATTGGTTGCATAAAGGTGGCGGCCGTCGCCCGGGACAATTGACGGGTCGCTGCGCCCATGGCCTTGGCAGTGATTGAGCGGGTCCCGGGAAGATGGAGTGATCGGTGGAAGATAGATGAGAGGAGGAGAGACGGACTGAGTGTCCGTTCACTCAACTGTCACAGCGCAAGGTTAATAACGCTGGAGTGGATAGCACTGTACCACGACTACATGCAGTCGAGATTCAATTCAAACCAGTTCAATTTTTGCTTTTGTTTTGGAGAACATGACGGTCATAAAATATGACCAGCATACAAACTCAAGGCTTCTTGTATTGTTACAGAGTAAACAATGCATACAAGTGTATTATGGATGTGAACCCCACAATGAAAGTGAGGTATCACCATTCAGCATTAAGTTACTATAGAGGAACCATATCTTTAATAAGTATACTTTAAATCTGTTTGGACAAAAGCATAATCTAAATGACATCTTTTATGTATTCTCTCTCTCCATACAGTTAAGACACTTGGGTAACGACGAAGTGCACATCGTTTGGTCCGAGCACTCGCGGGACTACCGGAGAGGCATCATTCCTACTGAGTTTGGAGACGTGCTCATCATCATCTACCCCATGAAGAACCACATGTACAGCGTCCAGATCATCAAAAAACCCGAGGTGAGCTCAACAGTGAACCAATAAGTACAAAACGGTCGTTTAGTTATTTCTGATTCCTGTCTGTAGCTAGACATGTCACAAACAAATAATTTTTTGAATTAAATCATTTTTTAGTCTTTTTAATTTATTCAAATAGATTTGTGAAACACATTTAAAGCACCTGACTCTAGTAGAAAACTTTATCTGTGAGTAAAAGTGCAGGATGGGGATAAAATGTTGGATATACACTACTGTTCAAAAATGTGGGGCCAATAAGATTTTAGATGAGGCCTGGCTTTTATGAAAGTCCATTTAGACCCCATTTCAGTGCATGAGGGCTATTCACTGTGTCTTTTCTTCTTAATGTCAGGGATTTTTTTATGTAACAGGCTGAAATACGTCGGAGGTTTTGACATTTCCATGCCTCCCTTTATTTGAAGGATAAAGCTGCTAGCTTATAGGATGTGTAAAGTCCTGTGCACAAAAAGTATGGCAAAACTAAGTATTTTGCAAACAATGCTTTAGACCAAAACTATTCATTCTGAAAACAAAAGTTTACCTGAATATAATGTTCTTTATCTGAAAATTTTTTTAATTCACTACCGTTCTAGAGTTTGGGGTTGATAAGATAGTTATTTTGAAAGAAATTAATACTTTTATTCAGCAAAGACACATTCTGTTTATATAAGTATAAATCAATACCTTTATAATGTTACAAAAAATGTCAAATAAATGGTTCTTTTAGACTTTCTGTTCATCAAAGAATCCTGAAAATGTATCATGGTTTCCACAAAAATATTATGCAGCAATGATTTCAACACTGAATAAAAAGAAATGTTTCTTGAGCATCAAATCAGCATATTAGAATGATTTCTGAAGTTATGACTGGAGTAATAATGCTGAAAATTCAGCTTTGATCACGGGAATATATTACATTTCAGAATATATTCCAGTAGAAAACAGTTATTTTAAATTGTACTAATATTTCACAATATTTTTATGTGTTTTTGATTAAATAAATGCAGCATTGATCATCATAAGAGACTTCAATAAAACATTAAAAATATCTTAAAGGCCCCAAACTTTTAAAAAAAGTACTGTATAAAATAAAATGGATCAGAATAAAAAAACGAACCATCACAATACAATATTTCAGACTCAGTGTGAAGGAGTTTATAGAGATTCATTGTTTTATTTTATAGTCTTGTCATGCACATTTTTCATGCTGAAAATGTGGACTTATGGGAGTGTGAATAGGCCTTAATACTGATTGAAATGTGTGTTTTGTTCCTGCTTGGAGCTGCTCACATTTTGCTTTTCACAGGCCATTAAGTGTTCATATATCATGTCATCTCACTTTCCACAGGTGCCGTTCTTTGGTCCCTTGTTTGATGGAGCCATAGTGGATGGAAATATCTTACCCACAGTGGTGCGAGCCACGGCCATCAACGGCAGCAGAGCTCTGAAATCCCTCATCCCTCTTTACCAAAATTTGTATCCTTTTCCAGACTTTAACGATTGCACATGTGAGCTTTTGTCATGTTTAAGGTGGCAGAAGCCTATTATCATTGTTACAGCCTGCTTGGTTGGTTTTCTGCTCTCTCCTCCTGCCATACAGACCTGGCTCACGTATGTACGGATTGACTTGTGAGCGGTCAGGTTGAATCTGATGGGAGCAGGTAGAGCCGCTCGATAATTATTGATGTCTTATTTCTCAGCTCTGCACATGTAGAGCACCGCTCTCTGCTCACCCAGTCAGGCGGATGATGGAATCATTCTGATCACTCCTCAATGCCTGCTAACCGTGATGCACAGCCATTTGCTTTTGAAATGCTTCTCGTCTCTTTTTCTCTGTCACACGATCTAAACCTTTGCTGTTGTACTTAATCTTTTTTTTAGGCTTTTTCAACCTCTTTTTTGTTATACATACAAGTTATTATTACAAGTTATTATTATACATAAGTAACACAACATGCATTGTCTCTCAAAATAAGCTTGAATAGTAGTAGTTTTGGCTTGTTTACCTTTACGTAATATTAGGGCTGTCGACTTTAATGTGGAAAAAGTTAACTGAAATCAGTTTTTATAAATGAAACCTATGTGAAACTTTTCTGCACATAAAGACAACAGTTTGATCAGAAATACAATGAAAAAAACAGTAATATTGTGAAATATTATTGCAAATTAAAATAACTGTTTTCTATTCTATATATATTTAAAATAGAACAATATACATTTCTTTACTGTATGTTAATGCATCCTTGCTGAACAAACGTATTTAAAAAAAAAAAAACATTTTACTGACCCCAAACTTTTGAACAATAATGTTTATTACGTATTATTGTTTTGGGAATCTGTGGTTCCTATTTTGATTTAATTTCTCATCTAATTCTGATCCTTTTTAACACTGCATTATATTATGAGATTAATTGCAATTTCTAAATCTAATGAATTGACAGCTCTAATAATTAGTGGTGCTTACCGAGGTTGTTAGTGTGTTTTAGTGTTAGTAGTATGTTTTAGGGTTAGTGATTTGGACCTTTAGTATTAAACTTTAGCTATTGCTTTAAGTGATTGGACTGGCGAGTGGGAAAAATCCCGTAGTTTTACATTGAAGGATGAACCTGAGCCATATCTATAGACCAGGATATTATTGATGGTTGGCTCTTTTGACTCTTAAAGGATCATCATTTTGATAAGAAAAAAGCTATTTTTAAGAAAGAAGGCCTTTGGTCAGAATGAGACAAGCAGCCTGGATTTTAACTTGTTAGCAACCGACCACCCATCATAATTTTTGCATGGTCAAGTGCCACTTTAAAAAATCTAGTTTCTTTTACTTTGACAGTCTGCTTTGTTTTGTCCAAAAACAGTTATTGCTAACTAATTACAGACACTGTATGCTTTAGATAATGTTCAGTATCCGAACATTTCCAAGTCCAAATCCAGCCTCTCTTGTCTCGTTGGCACCAAAGACCTTTTAACCTTTCTTTAAGAGCGCTCTTTTCATCTCAAAGAGATGCTACTTCCAGAAAACAAAGCGAAGTCGGAGAGGAGGGGAGAAAAAGAGAGAGAAAAGGGGGGGAAAGCGATTCTCATCTGCCATGTCCTCCAAGCCAGAGAGATTGTTTGGCTCAGCTTGAGTCTTTCGCTCGCAGCAATCTCGCCCATCTGTGTGCCTGCACGGAGCTCGATAGTGGACTGAGCTATTGATTGGCGTGAGCCGCACAGGTCGATGCTCCTGACAGCCTGAATTACAGTAATCTGTCATTATCGACGGATGTCTCTCCAAACCTTTTCTCTCTCTCCGTCTTTCTCTTTTCTCACTCGGTCTGTTTTTCTTTCAGTCTGATTCCATTTATTTTGAAACTATCCCTCCCTCTTTTTTCTCTTTCTTTGAGTGCCCTCGCACCTTCTTTTCATTCTGTTGTTTCAATAATTGATGACTGTGAGGGATGGATGGCAGGCTAGTAGTGATTAGAAGATCTATGTGCCAGACGAGCTGCTCTCCTACAATGAAAACGGGCCGTGAGACTGAGAGGACCCCAGGGATGTAAGGAAGGAAGTCACAGTATCTCCTGCTTACCTGTTGATGGTGCCGCCACATGCAGTCATTGCCGAGAGAGAGAAAGTGATGTAGCCTAATTGTCCCTCTAACATCCTCGTATCTCTGAATCAATCACTAACGGGAGGTGTGGTGTAGTAGTTAAAGTGCAGAACTGGTAAAGTTGCTGGTTCAGTCCCCATAAGGAACTAGTCATGAGCCATCATCAAATTCGTTCCACTCACCCTCATCGTAAGGTCATAAATTATGAGATATCTAGAATTTTAGGGTTGGGTATCGATAGTTTTCCAAAATTGATTCAATTCCAATTCACAAGCTCTCAAATTTGATTCACTTTGGTTAAATTCTGATTCATTTGAGTATATTGTAGTAATTAATTTTTTCTTAGAATTGCTTACTTATGAAAGGTTTTCTACTGCTAATGCAGTAACACACATAAATTACATTATTATTTAGTTTCTGTTGGGAATCGAGTTACATTGGTCACACTTTTTTTTGATTTAGTTAAAAAAAAAAGATTAACTAATTGTGCTGTTTTTTTGTTTTTTTTTTGTTTTTTTTGATTCAACAAATGAACCGGTTCATATGCGTTATTTGCTCATGAATTGTGCTGCTTTGCCAGTTCTGTATGTTTTTGATTCACTAAAAGAACCGTCTTATAAGAGTGGTTCATTTCAGGATTCAGGCTATGCTGGTTACACTGTGTTTTTGAATCACTAATAAAACCAGCTCCTAAGAGTCATTTGTTCATTAAATATGCTATATTGTTCATGCTGTACGTTTCATTAGAAGAACCGACTCATAAGAGTCTATCGTTTTGAATTTAGGCTACATGTATGTTTTTGGTTCACTAAAAGAACCAACACATAAGAGTCATTCATTTGGGGATTCACTTTACACTGGTCGTATAATACAATGTATGTTATTTAAGTCACTAAAAGAACCGGATCAATAGAATATTTTGTTTTGGGATTTAGGCTACAATGGTCATTCTGTATTCACTTAAAGAACTGAATCATAAGAGTCAATGATTGGATGAATTGGACTGCACTGGTTGCAGTCACACTGTCTCTGTTGATTTGTGTAATTTGAAAGAAGTGGAAGTAGTTAAAATAAGTACACTTGGAAAGAATACATTGGCTTTCAAGTCTTTTTCCGTCCGTATAATCATACTCATTTTCTTCCACCTGAATTGCGTTGCACGCCGAGCCTCAGTTTACCACCTTTAGTTCCACAGAAAAACAAAATTAGATTTGGTCTGGATGCAAATGTCAGGTGCTGTTCTTGCTGAAGAGGTCCTCATTAAGAAATGTTCAAATGATGCACCAGCTTGACGCATGATCACAGTAGCCCCTCTTTAGCTCAGCAGAGACATGTGTTGTGAGGTAAATGTATCTAGATTTAAGAAAGGCAGACCAGCATTTTCCTTTTATAAAAAGTCTGCAGTATGCCTTTTTCAAGCATTGTCAAAACATCTTTTTTCCCTAATTTTTGCCCTGAAACTTTATAAACTTTTTAATTTGCTGTTCTCACTTTTTTTTCCCTCTTCATCTCTTCTCTTTTCTCATTCTGTAAGCCAACACGCCTCAACCTCTCTTGTGCCTGACTCTAAGTTCCAGTTCCTTTTCTTGGCCCCGGGCTGCGTCCATCTGCCTCCCCGCGCACTGATCCCTCATTCGACATGACTGTGAAATTAGGGCCTGGAATGGAGAGAAAGGCGCCTCTTTGGTCTTAATATCTGTTGGAGGGAAAGGGGGAAAAAACTGCAGGTAGCTGGCGTGGGTCAGTGTTATGAATGCTGGGCAGAAAAAATAACAGGGTTAAACCACAGATAGCACAGGAGTAATCCAAAGGGCCATGTGTGGAAAAAGAGCCCGAGCTCGGGGCCTTCCAAGCAGCCTTAGTCTCTGAGGGCACCATGTTGGGTCTGAGTGATAAAATGTTCTGGGCTGCCATATGTGGAAGTGTGTGTGCGTTTTAAACACCCCACTTCGATTAGAGCTAGTTGACCTGTCTCACCCCCAGACTACTGGATCGCTACAGCTGCTAGTCTTCTTGTAACGCATCCTGGAATGAAGTGGATCTAGATCTGGTCCTTCAAGCCCTGATTGCACGGCGAGAGAAACCCACATTATCTGATCCGCCTGGCTCGCGGCTGCGAGTTGGCCGGCGGGAGATTGGGTGTTGTTGGCTTGGACTCTGCGAGGAAAAAAAAAACACGTAAGTCTAAGAGTCACGGCCATTTTCCATCTGTCAGTGGTCGATTGGGACAATTTGAATGTAAAGAAAGTGGAATTACAATGAATTGAAATTCAAGTTCATGTAACTAACTTTTAAATAGAAAAACAGATTTACAAACTTTGAATGTTGAAAAGTTTGGGGTCAGTAAGATTTTTTTGTAATGTTTTTGAAGTCTCTTATGCTTAACAAGGCTGCATTTTTATTTTTGGAAATTACAGTAAAAACAATATTGTTACTCATTTATATTTTAATATATTTTGAAATGCAATTTAAATTTTTCTGTGATGGCAATGCTGAATTTTCAGCATCATTACTCCAACCTCAATGTAACATGATCCTTCAGAAATAATTCTAATATGCTGATTTGTAGCTCAAGAAACATCTCTTATATTATTAATGTTGAAAATAGTTTTGCTGCTTAATATACACTACCAGTCTAAAGTTTTGAACAGCGAGATTTTTAATGTTTTTTAAAGAATTCTCTTCTGCTCACCAAGCCTGCATTTATTTGATCCAAAATACAGCAAAAGCAGTAATATTGTGAAATATTTTTACTATTTAAAATAACAGCTTTCTATTTGAATATATTTTTACATGTGATTTATTCCTGTGATCAAAGCTACATTTTCAGCATCGTTACTCCAGTCTTCAGTGTCACCTGATCCTTCAGAAATCATTCTATTATGCTGAT